AATGGGTGATACACGAATCATTTCGTGTACACAATACCTCCAACGAAAAATTATTACCACGAACGTTCACGACACAATAATATTTTCCATCTAATAGGCACAAACGCAAATTGAAACGTATAATGTATTGCGACCCGGACGGCCTGGAAATGCCAAAAGTACATATCGGACCCGGAGCAATTTTGTTATCGCTTGATTAGATCGGCTAATAGTTTAGTTCATGTTCCCACGTGTTGATTATTATTTTTGTGTATTAGTTTCTCGCCATCGTTATCGAAAGGTCAAACGTAGACCCAAAGGATGCTATTAATAAAGGTCAAAATATATGCGATTCACATTGAGTGTTGAAAAATTTCAGCATGCCCGAAATCACTTTCATTTTACAATATCTAACTGATAACTGATAGATCATTTCTTGAATAATTATATTTAGCACACCGTGCCTAGTTGCCAGGGCACGTAAGTAGGTCAACCATTAATCCAGTCAGCAAATATTCGTTTATAAAAGTTGATTGTCTCTGATCAGTAGGGAAGTCGGTCCGTTCCGCCACCAGTTGTCCTTGGAGAGTACGCCCAAAGACTTGCCCTGTGGTTAGATATATTTTATAAAAAAATTATAAAATTAAAAAATTACACATAAAAGAATTATCTACAGTCGCAAACTTGGTCGCAAACAAACAAAAATAATTTCTTGGATGTCTCTTTTCCAAATTTCCAAATTGTCAGAGGTACTTTTCCCAAAATTATTGCAAAAAAATAGTTTGTCTGTTTTGGAATACGTTCATATTAAACATTTTTCTTATTTTGAAGTCTAAAATCAGCATACAAAATGTCTCGATGTTATTGCTGGGCACTCGTTAAAATAATTTTTACTGCAAAGTTGAACTATACAATAATAACATAAAAGATGCACTCTAAATCGAATTTAAATGCAGACAGAAATTTTGCTTAGGATAAACCTTTAGAAGTAGCGTATTTCGTACTATATTTTGTGCATAGGGTCATTTTTGCAACATAAGAAATGTATTAAATTAATTTTCATAGAAAGCGGAGTGAATAAAATTAGGCGTTTACACAACAAATTGGAGATGGAATTAATTAAACATATAACACTCGTGCCTAAAGTGGCAGTTGTTAAGCTTGTTCCATAATAAACGATTGTAGTCGCAACCAAACGACGACTAAAATGCCAGGAATGCTCGAAGTGGCTCGCGACAATATTCGTGAAGCTTACGTTTCATAGTGACAATTTGCGCACGCCTTCTCACAGTAAAATTGGGTATTTTAGAGTAGAGAGTAAAAAAAAAGAAAGTTTAGAATATTGTTCTAGATGTTCAAGAATTACATTTAATGCGAGACTAATTTTAATCTGCTACTGTGAATATCATGCACTGACGAGATCATACGATGACATAGAAATAGAAATAAAACTTTATTTACCGGGAGCTTTTACAATAAATATTAATATATGTTAATAAATCGTAAATATGTTATTGTCAAGGCAATGACAAAACAATATAAATGTAAAAGAATTAAATAGAATCACATATGAATCACAGAATTATTAAAATGAATATTAGCCTAAAAAGAAGAAAACCGAATACCAAATTACTTTCAAGGTATTCCTGAACTGAAGAGAAGAAATGAGCACGTAGATATTCTTTCATTGCTCTGTTGTACAGTGTGTAATTCAAATAATTATGATTATGACGTATTATGCAACGGGATAATGAATAAATCATTTAAATATAATAAAATGAATAAATAAAAATAAAATAAAAGGTAAATGCATAATCCTGTGGCTCAAAAAAAGTCTGCAAAGGACACCTCCTCCCTCTCTTTTGTAGTTTAACAATAGTATGTGCTGCAGTAATGTGACCCCACAATGGAAAGGCATAAGAAATTTTTGAATGAAACAGTGTAAAATAACACGTTTTAAGGGTGTCGTAATTTATGTAAGATCGCAGATTTCTTATTAAAATTATCAGACTCGTTAAAGTTTTAGAGAGTTCATCTGTATGGTGTGACTACGACAATTAGTCATCTATAATGGGACCCAAAAGCTCGAGTTAGTCGGTATTTTCAAAATTTTGGTTTTATCTTTATTTAAGAGAAGATTATTGGCACCGAACGATCTTTTGGCAAGATCTAAAACAGCATTTGAAGTGTCAGACAAAGTTTCAATGCTGCCGTAGGTAATATAGCGTATCATCCGCAAAACAGGAACATTTGAATTCATGCAAGTCATTCACAAATACGATAACCATAGCGGACCCAAAATTGACAATGGAAGTTCGATATTCTTTTAGTATTTCTACTGAATTAGTGTCTACCACCTTCAAGCAAACGACAGTACCATACTATTGTAATAGTTTCACCACGGCAACTCGTCCGATGATGAAATAAAAACAGGCCATAATTCGCGGGATCTAGTAAAATAAAGTAAAATAAGTAATGATTACATATACACAACACTATTAATATTGGCGAATATTTATCTCAATTTTTGCTCTGATAAATAAACCAGCACTTTTTCAAAATACTACCGCCAAAAATTAATAGACAAATAACAAATTGCTAAAAAAATCACTGTAATTCTAAAAGAAAAAGACATAAAGTGGGACTCATCAATTTAAAAGCGTTGCAAATGTTGTATAATTAAAGTTTGTAAATTTACTGCAAATGAGATTTAACATTTTGTTTTTACTATCTTCAAGTTATTTATTAGTTATTCGAGATTGAATAGTGCGGCGAATTTAAAAGTGATAGATGTTTACATCAAAAATTAAACATTCAGCTTTCCGTCTAATAAATAATGGAAAAATTATGACAAAAATCGATTTGTTATTCCACAACACATTGGCCACATAAAATTGTGTTCCATAGCAAATATCGATATGCAGAAAAGAGTGTCCGTAGATCAATATTAAAAATTATTAATGTAAGATCCACTGAAACTAAGAAATGTGTAGGAATGTAATTTTTTCTATAATGCACGCAAAGCCGCGTTTTGAAGAGAAATATGGAAAAGCAACGACTCCACGTACTAAATTCATACCATAATATCCATTTCGACGAAACTCAATTGTATATACGTTTAAAAATAGCACATCAAAGACCTCAAGGTTTTATTGTTACTGAATATGTATTCATCGAGTGAGAACGTCGATATCGATTAAAATTTGTGCAAAGCTTGGTATTTTTAACGACACCATGAAGTTAGACTACAAATCAAAAGTTGATGGATAAGAAGTGATGCTAAGAAAAAACAAATAAATGCAGTCTGTGACTAGTGTGAGACCCCAACACCCGTAAAAGAATCGTCATGTTATCTATACGGCATGTATAACTATAAAATCTTGCTTAGCTATCAGTATAACTCGTTTTACGATGGGACAAACGAATGGCTTCTTTTTGAGTTGTTAAATTGCGTTCCATAACGCGTCCATGAAATATTTTGTCAAAATTATAAGTATACGTATAAACGTTACCTAAAGGAAACAATTTTTAATTATTTAAAACAATCAATTTTTAATTATATACTTCATGTACCTCCTCAGATCCCTAATTTAATCCAGTTTATACTTTGTATGATTCCATGGTTACCTACTGTAGTACTGGGGAATAAGTCCGATTCGATGCTAGTACAGGGTATACCCTGTACAAACTACATATAATTTATACACATTTATTATGCTAATACAATAACGCACTACTTCAAGGGTTGCTGCTTCGCAATAGGTAACATTTTCGTGAAGCGAGCCCTAAACATTCTTGAAGACCAACTCCTTGAAGAAAAAAACGTTACTTGCGAAGTAAATATTAGAATAGAAAATAAAACCAGAGCGGACAAGAAGAATTAAAAATTGTCTAAGAAAGGTGAATTTGTTTTCAACCTTGTTTATCTATTCGTTTGTATAATATGCATAGTTTAACAAAATTTGTTGCAAATTAATGTTATCTATAGAAACAAATATATTAAATATAGAAACAAATGAATGTATGACAGTTTGACACACTGCTCTTCAATAGTACCGCCAGTTTCATGGTCAAACTTATTAGAAAGTATTTGACTGCTGACTAATTGTTACTTTTAACGGAACATAAAACAAATTCCTAGATCAGGTGTCATCAACTAATAGATCGCTTCAGTCATTGTCACCAGGAATTAGTTTAAATGGGGACCATAAATAGGAACGTGGCATTCTTGTTTTCTGTGTATTCGGATTAAATAAATTAGCTAGTATGGCCTTTAGAAATTCTTAATCTCAAATCTAAAAATATTTATTATGCAGTCTGAAGCAAGTCATCACTAAATATGGTAACAAAATCTAAGCATGCATGCTCATGCAGTTTAAACGTTTATATGCCTAACAAAAGAGCTTTTGTGGTCCAAAACTCCATTAACTTACTCTCCTCATAGGACTAGAATTTATATGCTATGTATGTGAATGTATGTAATTAATAGTCGATGTTTTGCTCGAAAATATGATGCAAAATCTAAGAATTGAACAACGAAAAATCGCATATGTAAAAATCAGATTGAAGCGAGTGACATAGTATTGATTTAAAGGTGTTAAAATCGTCAGCAAAGGAAAGAAATATGGCAAACGACAAATTTATTTATATGGCAAATAAACAACATACACAGTCACTCGATATCATATATCATTTGATATCACTTGATATCATATCGTTTAGATAGATCTCCACATAAATCAATTTTTTTTGTAAGTTTTTAGACTTCCCAAAGTAAGTTCTCTTCTTCTAAATTGACCGACAAGTCTAATATCTAAATATTTTCCATTTTATATTTTAAAATAATATTTATAATTTTGCCAAAACCAAACTTGAATCCACGCCTTTGCCCTCGTACAAAGTAAAAAACAACACACGTAACCTTCTCATCCATCAAAATTTTTGATAAATTTTAACGATGTATGAATTTCAAAATCCCAAAAAAACTTATCGCGGACGCGCTGTATATCAAATACACCCACCTTTTGTTTCGTCGTTTTACGCACCAATGGAATACATACGGAGACGGGATGTTGCAGCTATAGAACATATAACCGTTACAATTTAAGTCGCCGGCAATTATCTGGGCGCACGTGATCGCCGTCGTGGAGCGTATACGTCCGTCGCGACGCTACCGACTACGCAAATCGGGCGCAACTGAACCATAATTGTTCTTCGTGTGCTTCTGGGAAGATGAATTCCCGCGCGCAGATCTGCGGCGCTTTTTTTTCTACTCTAAGCCACGAACCCCAAAATATTTTTTTATCTTTGGTCCTACGAGCACGGCGTCCGTATACAAACATTCGAGAGTATGATTGATCGGAGATGCTCTCGCGAAAAAAAAACAAATCTCGTACCTTTGGAAACGGTTTCATTGATCTATTTAGTAGTAGCGAAGGGAATTATATTTTTTTGTCACATCATTTTTGTCCAAGTTATTAGGTAAAGCTCTGTTAGCATCAAACATTTATAGTTTTGGTAAGTATGCAAAATGTATTATCACATTAATTACATCATAGTTATACTGGTGAACAATGGTATTTCCTGCGCTTGATATAAAATTGGTTTAATGATATGTTCTAATTCACATATACAGCTTCTCCACTATAGGTATTTTTGAGGGTCATCTCTCTAACCTAATACTTTTCCTTAATCACTGTTAGGTCCTGTTGGACGGGGTCTCCCTATTTCTCAATATAATAAATCTATCTAGGTTACTGTGGCCAAAGTGTCACATTATACTTATATTTGCTTTTAACATCTTCTTTTCATTGTATCTTTCATATTTAATGGCCATCGAATATTTCAGTTTTCAACTTTTCATCTTCATCTTCTGCTTTGTCGCCTAACTTTGGTGGACTGCTTTATAATACCTATCCTGATAAAATAAGGAGGAACGATTTTTTTCTCTGCTTAGCAACGAAAGTTAAGGTTGCACAGCTTGTTTCGTTGCTTTTTTCTAATTGGTCTGGTGTCCGACGGAATTTATTCGAATATCGAACTTGTAATCGCTAAGAATCAATTAACACTTGCTTTTTATTTATATGTCAATAGCAAGAACGTTTTGTGAAGAATTAATTAATGTTTAATAAATATGTTTTCTTTAAATTCACCAACTTCTTTATTACTTATATTACCCGCATCAGGCCGTTACTTCTTCAGATTAGTAGCGATTTATTTTGACTTATCTGATCTGATTAGTCGTAAATAGACCCACTAGCATCTAATACCAAAAACAATTTCGGGAGCCTCGGTTTTGACCAAAACTAAGCATCCAAATGTAAAAGCTTCCTCATTTCACATACGTTTAAAAAATACACCACTAATGGTTTGAAAACCAATATATTTTCTGGAATGAATTTTGTCTATTAATTCTGTCTATCACGAAAAGACTGGGGAGTTGAGCGATTTTATTTGCCTAACTTTTCCGGGGGTTGAGTGTTCTGGAGGTTATTTGATGACTTTTTATAAAAGAGTGGGGAGACGCGTGGTGTTTCATTCATAACTTTTATGTACCCAAAGTTGGTGACGAAAAGTTTTTAAGCGTTTTATTAATGACTTCTCTGACCGTGTACATTCCTGCAATACACTTTTTACACCAAAGTATAGTTCGAGTCATATTATGTCGAACCATAGCAGAATGTCTGCAGTTTGAAACGAAGCTTGTCAAAATGAGTTTGATAGTTAATCCAGAGAAAATTGAATGCTAGGTTCAAGAATTTTTTTTACTCAGAACCTATCAAATTTGCAACATATTAACGAAGCTTTTAATTATTCATTCTCTAGTAAATACACCATAGTGAAAAGTTTTGATTAAAGGAGTTATAACCTGACTTACTCTTAACAGGATTTTTATATAGGGTATATTAATAAATTAAATTGTGAATGGAACTTTTTCTATGATAAAGCAAAGTTTAACAATAGGACATAATTCATAGGTGGCATCAATAGAGGAAAATAACTGTCACATTTCCATATATCTCTTCCATCTGCGGAACTATACACACAGCTTCTCAAAAAATAAACGGGGTGATGCTCAAAAAAGTCAGCGCAACTATACAAGTTGTCTGAATTACGTTAAAAGTATGCAGGGTATTTCACAATGGCGCACTCATATCGCTCATCCATTCTGAAATCATTAGTAAGTAATAAGTAGTAAGTTATTTTCTTTATTTCTGCTAATTCGCTTACGTTCAAAATTAACCTTACTGTTTTATGTCAAACTGTACACACGAAACCGCTTTTTGAGTTGTTTTTGAGACTGCTATCTTCACCGGTGGATGATGGATGCAAAGATATCACAATTTGATAGTTTTTCTCTACCGACGGACGTAGCACGTTCGATAATTTGTTTCTTTATATTCTCCATTAATATAAATTTTCCTACATGACAAAGATATTTCAAACTGTATGGGACCCTCAAATAAACAAAAAATACGAAGTGTTTTTCAAGCCGAATTAGATATATTTATCTGCCTGAACTAAAACTAAGAATAATGGATTTTGATCCCCTCCATTTTTCTCCTGAAACGCAACATAAAATTCCCATTATACCCAAGCATAGAGTTAGCAGAGGGGAAAAGTTGTGCCGCTTTCAAAACGACGAACGGATATTTTTCGTTATAAGTGAATTTGACTTACCTCCCTTCTGCCTCGTTTCGTTTAGTGTAGTTGGAGTAATCTTAGTCGTTTGCTTTTTTTATCGAAATAATATAGTTTCTCTCTAAGCAATAAATTAAAAAAAAAAAATTGGCAACCTCTCGAGTTCTTGATATTCGGAGAGAAACGCAGGAACACCGGAAATACATTGCTTCTGTTTTATTAAGTATTTCTTGCAGACTTTTCCTGCCAACAACGAAAAGTTTTAAGGCATACTAGCAAAATGGACCGCCTGTGTAGTTGGCCACATGCCCAAGCGGGTCTCGAAGTGCTCTCGGATTGTTGAATTATGCGAAATAGACAGCAACATAATGACGCATATTGCTGACTTACCACATCAATAGTTGTACACCGTGAGGTGTTTTCATTGCAATTCTCTCCTAAATATGAGAAATTGCAAAAGCTTTTGAAAATCTTTTTTTTTTCAAAGAAACTTCCACAGGCTACTGTAATGCTTTTTACAAAACTTCTGGATTCCTCCTGCGTCGGTTTTTGCTTAGTCGAAATTGCTGACGTTTCGCCAATCATCCTGTTAGCTTCTTCAGAGCTTGACCGAAACTGTGTCAATCAAGCCAACAGGAATATTGGCGAAACGTCAGCAATTTCGACTAAGCAAAAACCGACGCAGGAGGAATCAAGAAGTTTTGTAAAAAGCTTTTGAAAATTTTTATTTGTGCACATCTGGCTGATCAAAACGGCTTCATGGCACCACTCTTGAATTAATGTTTATAGAGATATAAGGGATTCCACTCGCAGCGCATCTTGTTGAAACACCAGGATTCATGAACCATTATTGTTTTCGTTCTTTGTCGGCGACCTGTCTGACAAAATTATTATCAACTTCCTGCCATTTGCTCACGGTTTCAAAATGTATAGATCCATTTGTTCTTGTGAAGATTCTATTACGCTTTAGGACAAACTTTCTCATGTTTACAACTGGTACTGACAAAACAATCCTACATTCCGCTCCTCGAAGTGCGGGTTCTGTTTATAGACGAAAAATTTTCAAACGAGTTTTCAAACTTCTTTATTTTTCTACAAATCTACTACTTAACTCGATTCCTTCGATTCGGCTATTTTGTTTTTGCAACACATTTATGTTATGATGAAATCTCCCATACACACTCACAGATATATTATTCAGAACTGTTCATCTTATTGCAGTGATTCTGCTATAAAGACGGTGTATTGTTTGTTAGGTCTAAGCTTGAACGTGCGTCCATAGACTGGGCACCAATTTACTTGTCATATTCGATCCCTTGAGTATGTTTAAAGACGATTTGTAAAATTAAAGGTGTCTAACCAGAGAAGCGTGTTGTTGGTGAAATGTTGCGAATCAGGTTTGATATTCAAGCCTTAGATCATAGGCGGTTCAAGGTTGACTTAATATTTTTGCAAAGATTGATGCAGATAGTATTGATTTGATAAAGTTACCTGCGTAAATAAAGCTTCAATTTACAAGACATGCTTTGACATTCAGATGAAGGACTCGCAAAACCAAATATAGTAATATTGTTAACCATTCTTTAGCTAGATTAGTTTCAATTCATATTATAGCATATTATATCATATTGCATAATTTTTATTCGACGTCACCACATGTAGCTAGTAGAAATATAGAGGCCCTGCCTAATGATGATGACACAGAAACTTTTGAAGCAACTATGAAGAAAAAATTAAATCTCCTTTTTAATCAATGACCTTGCTGCATTCAACGGCCAATGTGGAAGCTGACTGATCGTCAATAAGTATTTTAAGGCAGTATGTTCTCAAAATATGCCTAGATCTCGTTAAATGTTCTGGGAAAATGAGTTAAGTGTGTGGAAATCGCTGTTTAGTAAGAAAATGACACAGATTGCAGGCTAATGAAATGTGAATTATCTCGATCGTCCTCTAACAAATGTTTGCCACTCATATTATAAAAGTTTAAGTTTTTATTGAAAAATATTAAATATATAATAATTTTGGTAGAACCAGTTCAGCCATCACGTATTGCGTGGTTTCAGAGTAGTCACGGCGCTGTGTTGAAAAAACAAACAATTAATCTATTACATTCCTGAAGCCCGCTGCTTGACTGCCACAGGTGCCTTTCAGATGGAACTGCTAGGAATTTCTATTAGAGACGTACTTTTACAAATTGTACTTTCTAATTCTACTCATAATTGAGTTGGGTAAATGTCTGAAGCTGTAAATGCAAATGTCAAATGAAATGAAGTAAACTGTTTGATATGCATTCTACTTGAATAATTGGTTAGATGCTGATAACAAAAGTATTTTCTGAAAATTTGTATCTACCGTAGTTGTGGTATCATTTTTTTGGCGATGTATGTTTCATGCTGAAAAAGACTTCTTTTTTTCTTTTACAAAGCTGTCCGCCAACGCTTCTTAGCCGAATTGCATAGTGTTAAAGTTTCAACCATGAATCACTTTGTACGTGACTATATTGAGATCAACTGAGTCCCTTTAATGATCGATAACGTCCAAT